TGGTAAACAGTAAAAGAATGATCGGTTTAGGGGGTTGCCTTGAGCCATTTGGCCAACAACAGGGCAATATCATGTTGATTTTCAGTCCTGCTGAATATCTTTTCACATTAATATGCTAACTACTGTTGGTCTTTGCCTCCGGCATTAGTGAACGTTAAAGATCATTACAGATGGTCACTGTAGGCGCTTCACCTGTGTGGACCCCTCCATTGATCCCTTTCTGTCCCCTTTAACTTCTCTATGTTGTCCTCCCCCACTTTGCCTGTTATATGAATATTACAAAAACGGTCCCACTTTTTCCTGAATATCCTGGTGATTTCCAGCACCCCTATTTTTGCCCACGTTTTGCCCTCTGCCATTTCTTCTATGCTGATCTTAAGTCTCAACTGAAAGCCCAAATCAAGTGATTTGGACTTGGGGAATCCTGTAACACCCAGGATGCACGCCGTGCACTTGTTATTTTCAGCAGGCTCTTCTAATTGTGGCCAGGTGCAACTTTGGGATGTTAACGAATGCACTGTTTTTTTGGGGGGTAACTATTTGCCCCCATGTTCCTCCTTTCCTTTTCAGGCAGCTGCCAGAGCATTAGGGTTTCATTAAGGGATGATATGGCCAAACCTAAGAGTTCATTCTCAGTGATTGGGTTTCAAAAGCCTGGCCTTTGAATTGCACAAGGCAAGGTTCCCAAGGACTTGGGGGTCACAGTCTACTCCAAGGCCAGTGAACTGTGAACAGGCTGTGTGCGCGCGTACCCTGGGGTTTCAGGCTTTCCCAGGGGATATGCTGGGACATGGGCAGCGCTAAGCAAATCAGTGTCCAATTTCCCATGTCCTCTTTTCTCAACTGGATTTGTCTATGAACAAGCCCTACACTTACGATCTGTGGGGTTTCTTCTTGTGTTCTTTTCACACTTGCCCTTTCCCCATTTCCCCTCCTTATTCACTCCTATTCTTGTGGTGAATAAACCCCGAGTGCCAACCCAAGGGACTCTGTGAAATAATGATATTGAGAAAGCAAACTGCTTGAACTGGCAAACACATCTGCCTACAATTCAGATGATTTTTAAAGTCTTTGCTCTAAACAGAACTGAAGACCTACTCAGGATTATTCAGAGTAATCCCTGATGACAGACCACTGTGCTACATTTGGATGTGACTTTGAAAAAGTTCAAAGAATGGAAAGACGTTACTATTACAAAACCTATTCCATTTCCAGCTACAATTTTTTTTTTTTAAAAAAATTGATCCCTCTCTGTCCCCTTTAACTTCAGTGCTGTTATTTTAAATGAGGAATGACATTAATTATGGCCTCTTCCCATTCTAGCAACAAATAATATTTTTTCATGAAGAGATGAAATAATTAGGAAAAACAAACCAGTCCTGTTCATTTTATTAAGAACTGAATTTCTGGTAGAATTTGGATTTATATGTTTATTTAACAAAAAATTCTTTCAAGTATAATATGTTATTATATTTAGGATAAAGTTCTATGAGGAAAATGAAATGAAAATATGACTTCAGGGAACATTATAAAACAAGATACACTTATATGTTTATATTTTTGAATGGACAATTGTATCAGTTTCCTTTAGGATTTATATTTCATTGGAAACATTAAAAATAGTGGATAACAGTTTTATTTTATTTTATTTTTTACTTTATTATTATTGTTGACACTATTACAGATGTCCTCATTCCCCAGCCAACCACCCCACCCTTTGCCCACCTTCAACCCAGGCCCCTCCACTCAGTGCTGTTATTTTAAATGAGGAATGACATTAATTATGGCCTCTTCCTAATCTAGCAACAAATAATATTTTTTCATGAAGAGATGAAATAATTAGGAAAAACAAACCAGTCCTGTTCATTTTATTAAGAACTGAATTTCTGGTAGAATTTGGATTTATATGTTTATTTAACAATATTTTAAACATATTTGTAATTTTTTAAATTAATTGTATACTAAATGAGAAGCATAATGATATCTTCTCAAAAGAAAAAAACCAAAAACATTTGAACCTCTATGGTCACAGGAAATTAAAAAAATAAATGTCAATTTACATCCTTTTTTTCAGTCAATTATGAGGTAGGTTTACTTAGCAAAATTCTTTCAAGTATAATATGTTATTATATTTAGGATAAAGTTCTATGAGGAAAATGAAATGAAAATATGACTTCAGGGACCATTATAAAACAAGATACACTTGTATGTTTATATTTTTGAATGGACAATTGTATCAGTTTCCTTTAGGATTTATATTTCATTGGAAACATTAAAAATAGTGGATAACAGTTTTATTTTATTTTATTTTTTACTTTATTATTATTGTTGACACTATTACAGATGTCCTCATTCCCCAGCCAACCACCCCACCCTTTGCCCACCTTCAACCCAGGCCCCTCCACCCCTTTCCTCTGGCCATCACCACACTGTTGTCTGTGTCTATGGGTTAGGCACATATGTTTTTTGCTAATCCCTTCACCTTCTTTCATCCATTCCCCCTCTTCCCTCTGACAGTTGTCAATCTGTTCCATGTAGCCATGCCTCTGTTTCTATTTTGTTTGTCAGTTTATTTTGTTCATTAGATTCCACATATAAGAGAGATCATATGGTATTTGACTTTCTCTGACTGGCTTATTTCACTTTTCAATATTTACAGCTCTCTGCAAGTCACATCTAGCAACTACTTAAATTTAGGATAAAAAAAGTATAGATGTCAACTTAGGTAGAAGGTACACAGTCTTTTGAAATTATTTTAGGAAACAGAGGGACAAAAAGGGTCGAAGACTAGATCATAAAAATCATCCATAATGATTGAAAAGCAAGATTTCAAATGAGATGAATCACCTGCAGGCAGGAGTAGCTGGACAATACTGTTTGGCAGAACAACAGACTGGCCTCTGAGAGTAGGTGGGGCTTGGGCTGGGAATGATAGAACTTGCAGAGGCCAATCTGAGAACTGGCAGAACCTAAGCCCTCACTCTAGCCTGCAACACCTGGGAAGAGGTGGTGTGTGTATAGGAGCGTAGAGATGGCTGTGTGGGATTTTATAGAGTTCCATTCATACGGTGCCTCCTGGTGTCCCTCTGGGTGTGAAGCCTAGTTGCCCACAGCAATTACCCATCTCCTTACTACACTCTGTTTAGTTTATCTCCTGTCCCTGGTCCCTGTCTCATTTTTCCTACTGACCGACTTGTACCCCCTGAGATCATCTCCCAGATAAAGTACCTGCACCCCAATTCTATCTCAGGATCTGCATTTGGGGGCATCTAAACCAAGACATGCATCATAGGTTACTTTATTTTTTTTTAATATATATTTTTATTGATTTCAGAGAAGAAGATGGAGAGAGAAACATCAAAGACAGAATCATTGATTGGCTACCTCCAACACGCCCCCTATTGGCGATTGGGCCTGCAACCCGGGTATGTACCCTTGATTGGAATTGAACCTGGGACCCTTTGGTCTGCAGGCCAATGCTCTATCCACTGAACTAAACTGGCCAGGGCCAGAAGTGCTTTTTTTGGGGGAGCTGGGCGGGGGGGCACTGGCTGTGTGGGCAGAAGAAGATTTCTCTGGGAAAAGGCACAGGATTGTGGGCCAGGACAATACCACGGCTCATGCCTGAGCTTGTTGCCAACAATCAGTGACAGATTATGCAAGAATTGTTGGTATTTTCATCTACTGCTTTGTCTCACCATTAATCAAGTTGACCTGATTTTCTTAATTCACTGGGACCTCACCCTTTTTCTCTTTCTTCAAATCACTTTTTGTTTGAAGCTAACAAAAGTATATGTATATATCGTAAATGCTTCTACTTTCATCAACAAAACAGCAGCATATTGAAAATACATAGTCGTTCTGTTATTATACAAGTTTATCCATTACACCGAACTCTCCTTTGGGTAAATGTTATCGAACAATTTTCTTCCTTTTTAAAATAAAGACTGTGTTTAGCCTTCTGCATATTCCTCAATCCCATGATGCTGTAGGCATTCTTCAACCATGTTTGCCTTTTCAACTGGGAATATTATCTGGTTTCATTGTTTCCAAACTGGAACTGAGTTTTCCTAGTCTTGATTCTATATAGAGTTCAGCCTCATCTCATCATCCCTTCCTGCCTTATTTTAAAAACACTTTCCATACCCCACCTGTACCGGAAAATGCATTTATACTTTGAACAAAATTGACAAGCCGTAATGGTAGTGCATTTTCCCACTTTATTCCAGCTTTGTAAAAGTCAGAGGAAAACACAGGCATGGAGTAGGAAAAATATATCTGGAATGGCATAATATAGTACAGTGGGAAGCCAGATAACCAAGTTGGAGAAGGATGCTAAGAGATTAATTAGAAATTAGAATCTGTATAAGATAAAGCTCAGAAAAAATTATCTATCATGTAGAAGACCATTTTTGTTGAAGGGGTATTAAGACAATGATATAACAGAAAATACTGAGTAGAAAAACATTCTCACAACACTTAACACTAACACAACTCCATGGACGTCACCTGTTATTCTCCCGTGCAGAATAGGATGGTGGTCGGGAGTGTCAGCTCAAGTCAGACAGACTTAGAATAAAGTTCAGGCTCGTCATCACCGACTGAGCAAGTTATTTAAGATTCTCTCAGCTTTAGTATTCTTTAGCTACACACGGTCCTAAATAGATAATGCATCTAAAGTGACTAATAAAATACATGAGGCAAGTTAACTTATTACAATAATTTCTTAAGCCCCTGCTACATGTATTTCACAGAGCTTGTGGTCTAGAGAGGAAGGTGGACAATCAAATCAGCACACAGGTAGACAATGGCATATGGAGAAGGAAAATAGTAGAACATCAGGAGGACACGGAACAGAGGGATCTGGGCTGATCTGGGGCCAGGGAAGGTTACCTGAGAAAGTGATGTTAGAGGAGAATTGGGGGTTAAATAGGTAAAGGAGGGGGACCAGGGAAAGGGCATACACACAGTGATTTTTAAACAGTAGTTTAACATTTACTTCAATTATAATGCAAGTTAATCTGACTTGAGGTTAGCATCACAAGGCATACTTCTGAGTCCATTCCTGAGATATTCTGTTGCACTTTGGCATACTTCTGAGTCCATTCCTGAGATATTCTGTTGTACTTATCTCTGTCTGTTTTATTTTTTTTTTCTTTTTTTTTGTATCTCTGTCTGTTTTAAAGATCCATGTCATCTCTGGCACGAGGGGGTCATCTGGATTTGGATCACAGAGCAGTGATCCAATACCTAAAAGAACTTTAGAAATAGTTGAAGCCTGAGACCACTGTGATCTTAGACCACTGAGACAAATGCTAACATTACTGTTAATATTTGAATAATAAATTCTTGTTGTAAATGCAACCTTAGGTGGTTGGAAGGGGTGGTTTGTAGGAAAATGAATTGTCAAAAAGAATATACCACCCTGATATCGGCTGTCATTAGGTCCCATAATTGTGGCTTGCCTATGACACACATCATCCCCAATTGTACATGCAAAGTCGCCAGGGTATTGGGGATCATGGGTTTTTCTGGGGAACTAAAGTTGTGTGGGTGTGGCTGGAGCATTGAGAATGAGTGAGTGACTTGCAAGAGATGAGGCTAGGGCTGAATGTGTGGGGAGAGGCCGCATTACTCTGGGCCTTTATAGTAAACTAGAGGCCCTGTGCGTGAATGCGTGCACGGGTGGGGTCCCTTGGCCTGGTCAGCGATCAGGGCCATTTTGCCCAGGCCCAATCAGGGACAATCAGGGCCAGCTGGCTGTGGAGAGGGACCACGGGGGGTTGGCTGTGGGAGCGCACTGACCACCAGCGGGCAGCTCCTGCATTGAATGTCTGCCCCCTGGTGGTCAGTGTGTGTCATAGTGACTGATCAACTGGTCCTTCGGTCGACCTGTCACAATGGTCGCTTAGGCTTTTATATATATAGATGCAGTGGGAAGCCAATACAGGACTCTAAGTTGCGGAGGGACGTGACCTGCTGGGAGAATAGAATGAAGTGGGTGAGGGGCTGTCCTCACAGTGAGAGCTGTTGGAAAGTACCAACTTTGCAGAGCAACTTTGTTCTTCAGTACACGCAGACATATTTCATAAATCTAAGGCCACGGAATACATCTTGCCTAAAAACTTACTTTTATTTATGGGGAAATGTCAATATTCATATGTATAAATCTATGCAAACACATATACACCGAAATGTTAGGTTTGCCACAATTGGTCTAAACCAGTAAAACCCTTTACTTAGCTTTATTACAAACTAGGGGCCCAGTGCACGAATTTGTGCACCTTGAAAAGAACTGTGGGCTGTGAGGCTGCGGTAGGCACAGAGGTGGGTCTCTACCCATCCTCCACACTCCCACCTGGCCCCTCCTACCGCACCCCCGGTCCCCTGTGTGCTGACAGCCCTGCTCCCAGTGCTGCTGCTCCCATGAGCTGACGGCGCCGGCCCTGCTTGCACTCGCTGATAGCGCGGAGCAATTGGGGCCAGCGCCAGCAGCAGGTGTGAGTGGGGCTGGCACCATCAGCAGGTGCGAGTGGCAGCTGCTGCCCCGATTGCCCCTCAGGACCAGGGGGAGGTGGAGAAGCCCTCAGGGGTGATTGGGGCCAGCAGCTGCCGCTTGCACCAGCTGATGGTGCTGAGCTGTCAGGGCCAGTGCCGGGCACTGGCAGCAGGTGCGAGTGCCGCGTGGGAGCAAAGAATTTTCAGTAACCAGCAGAGGCTCCCCTAGATGACAGCAACCAGCACCCCATTTTGGTCTGGCGACCCCGCTCACCTGCTCCACCATCCTGCCTCAGCCAATGCCCACCATGTTCCGTGCTCTGCCACCTGCTGCCGACGCCCAACATGTGCCGCACACGCCCCCTGGTGGTCAGTGCATGTCATAGCGACCGGTTGTTCAGTTGTTCCACCACTCGGTCTATTTGCATATTAGGGTTTTATATATATGTATGTATAAGATTTGAAAGTTGTATACTGTTCTTATTTCTAAAAATCTGTCTTATATGCTTCGCTCCTATGTTTCTAAACAACTGTAATGTATTCATCCGCTGATCAAACATTTATTTTCTCCCCATAAAATGAAATGTATGCTTTTAGGATTCAGCATCACATTCAGGGCCCTGAGCAGCTTTCCTGCTCACAGTCCCCTCACCCCAAGGGCGCTGTGTTTTCTTGTTTTTGAGTCTGTTGTCCCTCGGCCTTGGATGTCCTCTAAACATGACTGCCCCAGATGAACTCCTCTGAGACCTTTTTGAAACATGATCTCCTCGCTGAAGCTTTTGTGGATCCCTGTCAAATGTTTGTAAATTGCCTTGTTCTGTTGTGAGTGCTTATCACAGACAGGCTTGAATTAAAGTGAAGTTGTTCCTATCAGTTTCCTCCTTTAGATGAATCATTTTTAAAGTTCTGTTTTGATTCTTAAAAAAAATATTTTTATTGATTTCAGAGAGAGGAAGGGAGAGGGAGAGAGATAAAAACATCAATGATGAGAGAGAATCATGGATTGGCTGCCTCCTGTACTCCCCCTACTGGGAATTGAGCCCACAACCCTGGGCATATGCCTTGACAGGGAATAGAACTGTAACCTCCTGATCCATAGGTTGATGCTCAACCACTGAGCCACACTGGCTGGGCTGATTCTTTTTCTTTCCCATCAGGGAATCTTGCTCAGTTTACCCTCTGATTCAAGTTGGGCTCCCCCAGAAGGAGATCCTGAGATAAGGATTTTGTGCAAGTAATTAATCTCTGTGGGGAGGGAATCCCAGGCAGTGCCTTCCAGGGAGGGGGGCACTGAGACAGGGAAGGGGAGGGAGCCGGGACAGGTGCAGCGCTGAGCAGGTAACTCTGCAGCGCCCGGGCTCCTCCCCTCTGGGACCCCTGAGAGGCGCTGTAGAACATGCCTCAGGGTTGCACCTGAAGGCAAGGACGCTGGAGAGTTAGTCCCCAACATCAGTCAGTCAGTCAAAGGTTGAGGGCTGATCCACGGGGCCAATACACTCAGCAGCCAGAAGGCCCCTCACAGAGAGTTGCGGATATTTGCAGCCGAGAGCTCCGGGTGAACAGAGAAAAATGAGAGCTGAACACACCGCTGGTATCTGCAGGGATCATTCACACAGAGAGTATTTTTTACTTGAAGTCATACACAGCAATGAAAGCGTCTCCCTCCTCCCCCGAGACCATAAAGAGAAGGTGGGTTTTGAGAAGGAAAGGAGCGTATCACCAGAGGGGAGGGTGGCAGGGGCCTGGGATTTTTATTAAATGTACCTAGAGTTTTTAGCTAATATATTTTAACGGCGAACATATTAAAAACCAGGGTCTAGGATTTATAGCGGCTGTAAGGAAAGTGAAAAATAACAAGGCCCTGGGGGCTGACTGGGTTTAGTAAGTGCCACCAGCAGGAGGAAGGGCCATAAAACCTTATCACGGAATATGGGAGGCATTAGCCACATGGTTAAGTCAGGAGAATTTCCTCACAAACGATGCCATGCAGAGCCCGTTTAATAAAGGACGTGGAATCTGGACGGCTTCTTAGTTTAGGAATGTTACCCAAAGTCTTAAAAACCAGCAAATGCATTTTACGTGAAGCACATGCATCCAAGCAGGCTTAGTTGATTCTTTCCCAACAGGGAAAACAGCAAACGGGTTCTTTTCATTCCGTTTTCCATGTTTGTAGCACTCGCTGTCCTCTGAGTCTCTCTTCACGTCGGCTCCTTGTCCCCGATCCTAGTACTGGCTGCTTTTTAGAGCGATTTTTGGATCTGTGGAGTAGGCTAATTCTTCAAGAAAATGTATTGGTGTTGAGCTGCGGTCACAGTGCCTGAGTTATCGAGTGTTTTGGTGATTCATTGGCCACACATATATAAAGAAAATATCTCTGCTTGAGAAGGTTATATAGGTTCTCTTACTCAGCTGACAGTTCCCATCACAGAGAACATTATAAAATCAGAGGGAGGTATAGTGTTGGTAGGCTTGTGTTACTTTACCTTTAAACCACACGTTGGTTGGTTTTCCTGTTTCCAAATCATATTCTTAGCAGACCGCCATCCACTCCAGCAGTTTAATTCATTATTACACAAAGTCCAAGAGAGTGAAACTTTAACCTCTGCTTCTAACCACTTCGCGTTGGTTTTATCTGTAATGAACTTAGTGAAAGGCATCTGATGACAGATTCTTTCTTATGCTCCAATGACCTAACTTCGGAGGTCCTCCAAGGCGTTTAATTTAACCACTTGCTACTGCAAAGTGTCATGTGGTAGAGCAGGAATATAAACTGAGAATCCTAGGAGTTTTAGCAAGGAATCCCAAAGAGCATTCCCGCAGGAGCCCACCTGGGGAATGTTGGTAGAGGCTTGACTGGTGTGGTTAAGCCTGGGGTACACCCTGGTCAGAAGAATACAGCGCCGAAACCAACACGTGCTTCAAAGTAATTTAAATACCTTGCATCTCTCAAAGGAAATGCTTTTAAAATGCCTCCTCCCACTTCTCTCCCATCCACCGGGCATGTTCTGCAGGTGTTTCTGGGCCCTTAGTTTTCAAATGTGTCACCTAGAAAACTCCCCTAGCACCAGCCTCCTATTTCTTATGCTCTTCTCCCCTCTATACACCTGATACCTCCCAGAAAAACCCTAAATGAGCTGGTCTGGCACAAGTGGGAGCTTCTTGGAAGGGGGAAGAGAGAAAGACAGAGTATGCAAAGCTAGAACCCTTCATAGGTCAGAAGAATGGGAAAGCAAGGGAACCTTAGAAAATAATCTTTGCATTTAACTGCACAAATATGAGCACAGGAAAATATTTTATCAGACGGCACCAAGGGGTACTTTGTTTTATTTATTTATTTATTAAATTTTTTTATTGCTTAAAGTATTACAAAGGGTATTACATATGTGTCCTTTTTTTCCCCCGCCTTGACAATCCCCTGGGCTTCCCTACCCCCCAGTGTCTTATGTCCATTGGTTATGCTTATATGCATGCATACAAGTCCTTCGGTTGATCTCTTATTTATTTTCTTAATCCTCACCTGAGGTTACACTTATTGATTTTAGAGAGAGGGAAAGGAAGAGAGAGAGAGAGAGAGAGAGAGAAACATCTATGTGAGAGAAAACATTGATTGGTTGTCTTCTGTACCTGCCCTGCCTGGGGATTGATATAACCTGCAACCTTGGTATGTAGCCTGACGGGGAACAGAACCCATAACCTAGGCGTATGGGATGATGCTCCAAACAACTGGGCCACACCGGCCAGGGGGGCACTTTATTAAGAGCAGGCATGGTTGTCCTTCATGACAGCCACCCTGAGTTAGAGAGATGCATCTCAGAGTCCCACCCTCCATGTGACTTTTCCACCAGAAATCCTTCCTGAACCTACTTATATTTAAAATTGTGCCACTCATGAGTTCCACAAGTTCAAGATGGTTTGAGAATTCATATTTTTGGTTAATAATGCTAAATGCTGTCTACGCCTTTCATGATTTCAAAGGCTTC